CAGGCTGGGCTCATCAGCCCAGAGCAATATGAGCAAAATGATAAACATGGACTCGCACCAAGAAAATAGGATGTAAGATAAAAATACAACAAACTGAACAGTGTGACATCAACCGTTCCTTTATTTTCGCTACTTTGCAGTATTTACCTGTCAGGCAGCTGAACAGAAATCCAGATCTGACATACATACAAAGTGTTTATTACCAGTGCTGCCTCTGCTTACATTTGGCAGTCGCTTTTATACCGAATGACATGCGATGGAGAAGACGGGGTCAGCCAGCATAACAGGGGTAATTGGGTTAGGGTCCCCCCCCCCTCCCCCAACGGGTCCAACGGCAACATCACTCTGCCGGCTGCGGCGTCTGAACCAGCGACCCTTTGACCACGAGCAAATAGTCTTAATCTACACAACTGAAATGGCTGAAATTAGGAGTTGCCCTGAATTAGTGGTCAGTTAATGTATGCATGTACAAATATGAGTCACTGCAAATAAATATACATGAGATGAGTCATTCTGGATTTCTCTGGGAGGAACTGTCCTACTATCTGGTCTGAAATCAAACCCATTATCCTGAAAACAGTAGGCCCTATACACAACCTTCACCCTAGGCTGCACTAGACAAGTGTGATTTAACTGAATACTGATTTTATTTTACTGGGAATGGTAATGCTTTTGGCAGAGTTCGACCACATCAAAGACCAACCAAACAGAGACTCTCTTGGGGGTGCTGGCTCACCATCCTCTTACTGTTGTCTTTCCTGGCAAACGACAAGCATTTCCAAAGCGCTGCATAGTATCTCTCTAAGACCGGCATTCAGTCCAGTCCAGCCCTGTCAAGTTAGCCCCATCCAGATAGGGCCTCGTCATTCCGGAGACTGTAGCTGGGAACTCTCTGCAGGGGACACCATCGCGTGGTTATGCAGAACTCATACTCAGCTCATTCACTCAGACTTTTACTGACTGAACTCAACGTTCAGTCATCGCTAAGCCAAAGCCTGTTTTGAGAATGTCAGAGTGGAATTCCTCTTTGATGAGGACATGCTCTGGAACCACTGGCAAGGATGTGCCCTGTGATCAGAGCATGCAGTCTGAACCCACAGCACGTCCGCTACTGTGCAAAAGTCTTAGGCAGCCAAAGAAAATGTCTAAATGATGGTGTAAATGATGGTGTACATGTTGGTGTAAATGTTGGTGTAAAGCTATGCTGTTATGCCTGTCAGTGTGTGTTAGCTTAGTCATTTCAAAACCTCTGCTAAAACCTCCCCAGTGTTTGCAACAACTGTCCAGCACACCCATGTATGTTTGCACTTGACCACTACCACACATCGTATATCTAATCAATATCTCAATAATTTTTTTGATTAATTAAATTAATTAACTAAATGAGCTGGTAATGAAATTGAACATGGAATGGCTGAGGTGCCCCTGAGGAGAAGTTTGGGAACTGAAGCGGTGCTTGACTGTCTAAGACTTTTGCACAGTACTGTACACCAATCCTGGTAGGACTGTGCCTACTACTGGGTTACTCAGCCATAATAGGGCAACATGTGTAAATGGGCACAGGAAACATGGATTACATAAAAACATGGATGGGGAGAGTGATAGAGAGAAATTGGGAGATATCTCCATGATCCAGAACAAAGCTGACACTCCCATATCTCCCTCCCATCGGAAAACTTACTGATGCAATGGCAGTGCAAACCCTAGCGTGCATTTCTGTGAACGGAGAATGTTTATTCCTTTTTGCTGAAGGGTTGGCAGAGTATTGTTTGATGCACTCTACCCCTTGTCATATTGGATGCCTAGGAATTACCTGACACGGGAAGCCAGTGGTTTTGTTTTTCTGAAGCAGCCAATCAGCTCAGTTTTGGGAGAATTTGTCGACGGAGGAGCGGAGGGGAGCAAGGGGGGTGGGGGTGGGCGAGTAAGACTAACGATAAGCCTCATTTCTCAGTTACAATTGCTGGCTGTCGAGGCCCTGCCATGAGGAGAGCCGCATCGAGTTACCGCAGATGGCAAATTGCAGCGAGACGTCCTAAACGGTGTCAACAGATACTTGCGTCATGGTGGAATTGCGTTTCCTCGCCCCGGTCTGGAAACGTTCCTCATTAAAGACGCACGTTTCCTCAACATGTGCTGAACCTCGTGAGACAAGGTCCAGCAGCTGAAAGATATTGATATTTGTTTCACAACTGAAGTTTGATTGAATTTGTCATTTTCGTTTCAGGTCCATCAGATTGGTTTCTCTGTGTAGCGTCCCGCTTCTGACACGTTGAGGTGTTTAAACAACCAATTTTTTCTACTATTTTGACCTATAGCATTCACCAAATTGGTATCAGATTTAAGTGTGAGGTTTTGCTATTGTTGAATGATCAAAGAGAGAGCAGCCTGAATTATTTCAGAAATTTTTGCTTTTGTTGATGATGTAGAATTGCAATGCCATATATGTAAAAATATATAAGCTTTGTTCTGGAATTAAATGTCCTAATATTAGTTTTGACATGCATCAAGTTCACTGTAGTATCAGTTCAGTAAACTGTTATTGCAACTATGTGGTTTGTTGTGTTTATTGTATTCAGTCCACTGTCAGTCACTGGGAATGATGGATGCCACATTTTATTTGTCTTGATATAGCTGGACATTGTTCTCCTACAATATAGAACCGAGAAAATAACAATTGCAGAGCACATTTTCAAAACTCTCTGAGTCCATGGGATATGTCTTCAAGACAATTTCTATGGACTTAGTGAGTTTTGGAAATTTTAACTGAAGTTCCTTGTTGGATTGCATGAGGACTGAGTGAGTTTTGATCCCCGATCCTGTAACATATGATGAGTAAGCCTGATTTCAGGTCACTGGAGGTCTCATGTCAAAAACAACTAATGGAGCTTTGGAAATTTACTCTTCAGCTGTTATTCACATATCGATTAGCATTTGCAAATGAATTTAAACAGACAAGAACGCCATCCACTCATTCATTGTGCTTTTCCAGTTGAGCTGTGTTCTAGCAGCGAACAGTAAATGAAAGTTCCACAGGAGGCCGTTTGCTAAAGAAGCCAGGGCGCGGTCACGTGACCGCACTCCCCGCGCGGTATTTTGCACGAGCTGCCCAGATCTGCGGCTTACGCAAGGGCAAGACGGCGGAGACAGAGGCGGCTCTGAGCAGCCTGGCAAGAAGCGCCCCCTCTCCTCGCCGGGAACATTCAACAATGCTCCGTCTGAGCCCCCTTCCTCCGTAGCGTCCCGGGAGACAGGGCCAGGCTTCACGTACACGGGCGCTGCGGCCAGCGAAGAAATGCAGCACGGACGTGCAAGAATCGCCGTCCCGCGTCCCACGAATGGTCCGCTGACACACGCCCAGTCGACCGCGGGGCGACGCGCTACGCTGCCCTGCCCTGCGCTGTCTGTCAGTGCCTCCTCTCTCTCTGGCGACCGCCGCCGATTTCACAGCCCGGGTCGCGCTCCAGATTGCACAACCGAACTGGCACAGTGTCTAATTGCAGCTCTAACCAAGGACACCTGTCGCGTTAGGGCTCCATTCTCCGCACGTTGCTGCTGATGGCTCGCAAAGTTCAGAAACGTAACATTTTTACAGCGTTTGCGTTTACCTCCAAGTGCGGCATGGCGCTGTTGCCTTCTACCTGCAGGATGATGGGTTTTAAAATAAAATCACGGCTGTCCTCTCTCCACGTTAATGTGAGTTTCCTCCAAACAGCCCAAAGACAGGATGCTCGGGTAAATTGACTCTGAAATGCCCATAATGGCTCGTGATGACCTGGGGTCCCACGCTCGCCCTGGACCGACTCGGCCTCGCATAGCTTCCCGGTTACCATGACAACAGCAGCCACCGAAATTAGAAAATAGCTATTGGATGTGTATTTTGTATTACTCTTTTTTTTTTCTCAGAAATAATGGAAAATTATTTGCTCAAAAAATTATAATATAGAATTAGCACTTTTTAAATTCCTTATTTTTCTCCTCTATCTTGAAAGCTGTTAGCTATGCGCAATAATTTATCTATTCTTTTAATTTATCTATATTATTAAATATTCTATCTATCTATCTATCTATCTATCAGGTAATATCTGAACAAAAAATGCTGGAATTTAATATACACCCTTATTGAATGTTCACCAAAATAACCGACAGCGAAGGTACAGGACAGAGTCACACAGGTGTCGTTTTACTTAAGGGTGACTCATACGCTGAAGTGCGTCAAAATCCGCTAACAAGCTGACACCTCAGCCAGCAGGTAAAGGAGCCCGATTCTGGCGTCCAAATTTTCCAGCTGACACAGAGAGCGCCTCCAGCGACCCCACAGTGACGAGGGACTCTGCCATGGCTGGAGAGTACGGCCAGTCTGCTCTGAAGAAAGTCCACCCTAAGCCTTAGCATTTATTAAAAACCCAACGGATACTCATGTTCTTCAATAAGCGCTAAATTCACAGAATGGTCAGTTGGCCCGTGACCAAATCACAGTTAGCAGTGAGTACATTAACCCAGGGATTTTTGGTCAGATGCCCAAAGCAACGCGTGGGAGTAAAGATGTCTAGACGGGCATCTGATTTACCCTGGCCTGGTATATTGATTGGTCACCCCTGTAGGTAGTCTGTCGAGTAAACCGGTTTGAGCCGGCAAACAGGAATACGCTGTCCTCATATGTTATACAGCAACGCACAGCTGAACAGCTGTATATTGTACTGACTTCAGCCTTACAGGGGGAAAAAATGCACTAGAATAAAGCCTGCTTGTTAAATACATTAAAGGATGGTTCCATTTCCTATATGTACCACAAAATCGGTTAACAATAAATCAGTGTTTCCCAGCCCGGTCTCCAGGGACCCACAGACGGTCCACATTTTTGCTCCCTCCCAACTCCCAGTAGGGAGCTAAAAAATATGGGACTGTCTGCTGGACCCTTAGTGCCGGATTGGGAAACACTGTAATAATGTATTTGGTGAATAGTAAATTATTCCATATAAAAAAAAAAAAAACTCAGGTCAATCAAAAGCAAATTTAATCTAAAATTCAGGCACCATTTGTAATCAAATACAAAAATTTCAGCCAAAGAGCCCATTATAAAACAAAGGTAATTAAAAAAATATAAATGAACAGTGCAGCAGGGGGACACAGCCTCTAGCTTCTCCAGCACGCTGGATAAGGCTTCCAACATCCAATCAGCAACAGATCCAGCATCGTCTCCTCCAATCAGCAACAGAAGAAGCCCGCCGTGGCAGGGCGCATGACCCAGGTATTTCCGCCGTGGCTGTCCATGTGGATGCCCCCCAGTAGGGGGAAAAGTCATTGCCGGTAGGGTGCGAAAGGGAAAAAGTCCGCCAGTCCCGCGTCAATTCCTCAAACGTCCCTAATGCCATTTCTCAGCTAACATCTAAACACGTTTAGTCCCTGGTGTTACGCTGAATTTCACAGCAGAACTTTTATTTGTTTTCACTCAGTGGGGAGGGAAGAAAGATCTAGAAAAAAAAACAAACAAACAAAAGGTCTAAGATCCAAAATGAAAGCATCCCAACCCAAAATACAAACAACTAAAACGTTAATATAAAATCATTTAAAAATGAGCGTCACTCAGTAGCTTAAAGGAGGCCATGACATCACCATATAAAAGTGGATTAACAGCAGTTTAGAAGTATCATTTAAAAATGCTGCATGAGTCCTTTGGGAGGCAGGTTTGCATTAGCGTTGGGGATGCTAACGGCGCCCCCTGCATTGCCACGGCGCCTCCTGCATTGCCCCCTCTCCCATTCTCCTTTGCGATCAGTGCACTTGCCATGTACATTTTTGACTCACATTCACTAACTAGCTTCCTACCAGGATTACATCACCAAGGTAGTCCCTTACGACTCGGTGGTGATCTAAGCTTTCTGGGATTCTGTTAAACTGATACCACTGCAGGTTCCTTTTGAATGGTAGTAGCCTTTAATTACATAATCAGGGTGCGGCAAAATCGTATATATAAAACACAAATACCATAATTGCGATAAAATGGTCTCACTCAAGTCAAAAAAAATGTTTAAAACCTCAAAAATGAAGGGGAATCAATGCTATGCTTCTAGAATTAATGTATTTGTGTTACTAAATTTATGCGTGCGTGTTGCTAAAGGTGAGCCTTCGACAGGATGAAGGTGTTTGGCTTGTTACTTGAACAGTCGTGTTTAACCCAGTGCCTGGTGCTACAGCACATAAACCACATTTAGTGGAGTTTCTTTTTACTGTGCATTGATATTTCTGTCTGTTTTTATCAATTCAATTCCAAAATGAAAAGACAGGACAGTTTAAAAATGCTTAACATGGAATTTTAATGCAGAGACCTTAAAATTCCATACTACACATTTTTAAATCGATCTTCCGTTAAGTGGCACACCTTGGGAAATTAACTAAAAACCCTAATCTGTCCCTGTTAGCCAGAGGAATTGTGTTTGCGTGTGTGAGCAGCCACTACTACAGCTGAATCAAACCAGCCGCGCTATCATGTGTTAATAATCCCCTACCTGAGGTGTATATTCAGTACCACCCATGATGTCTTTAAAACCTTTTGCGCTCATTCTTTGGCCCCGAGTGCATACGGTAATCAGCTTCATCTCGCTGCGGCCTGACGCGCCAGTCAACCACGCTCATAAAGCACCAAAGCTCCAATCCGTAACCCTGGATAAGCCCTTGAGGGGTCACTCCAGGCCCCCAGAGTCACGGTGTCTGGGGCACGGCGCCAACGGCGTCCTGCTGTTCTGCTTCGGGACCAGGGATCGCTGCGGCCTCGTCCTTCGTCTCGCCGGCCAGGAACTCGTGGATGGCGTTTTCGATGTGGGGCCTGAAGGTGTGGTTGAGCTTGGGGTCCACAACCTGTGTGATGATTCTGTCCACGCCCGACTCCAGCATGCCCGACCTGCCCAGACGACAGACACACTCTGTCAGGCACGCGGCCATCACCGGTGGCAATTAAGGTAACCGACTGAGAAAGCGGAGGCCCGCTATCAGCATGTCAGCCTGGAATTGGGACGGGACACGTGGTACGATCCCTTATCCCAGACTGACTGTCTGTACACTCAACAAATCCTGCAGTGGGTGGTACATACGACCAAGGCCGTAATCAACATATTTCGGGTGGTGGGGGGGGGGCATTGTGAGCACATCCGAATATTGCATATAGTATAATTACGGCCCTGGACACAACGCAGCTATTTTCTATGTTTGTACTTGTGTCATTTCATTATTGTTTTATCAATAAAAATAATAATAACCAGATTGTCTCTTTATACACTTAACAAAAGTTTGTACTTGCAAGGAGGTAATTATTATATATTTGGAGGGGAGGAGCCCCCCCCCATATTTAGATGTGCTCACAATGTCCCCCCCAGTATATATTATTATTATGGCTCCCCCCCCCCACAATGCTGACTCCATGGATACAGCCTTGAGTACTCGTGGGATTTCGTAAATAAATTAATAATAGTAATAATGTACCCTTTCCTGCTAAATGGAATGTAACTTTTTTTGTTTGTTTTGAAGTACAGTGCTATTAGACTGACATGTGACTGACGCGTTTTTATGACATAAAACGGCATCACATTCACATACATAGTTGAATTAGCTATATTAGTGGGGTGGCGGGGCCGGGGTGGTCTTACTGCACGACGCTTTGCCGCAGCCCGTTGCGCATCTGGTTCTTGTTGATGGCTGGGCTCCACTCCTGGGTGCTCAGGTGATTCGACACGAAGTTGTCCACCTTCTGCCGCAGGTTCTGGTACGCCGGCTGCGTGGGTGGGTAGGTGGGTGGATGGATGGGTAAAGTAATAAAGAAGCGTAAACGGATGTCAGGCACGATCAGAGCCAGCTGTACAGTCGTGCAGTCACGCCGCCGACGCTATGCACAGTCAGAAACTTCCTGAGCAGGACTGCCGGGCGTCAGTAACTCCGCGGCTGGCCGCGTGCGCGCCCATGATGCTAACTAGCTAGCCGCCGAAGACTGAACGCATCACCGCAGAACAAAAGAAAGTAGAACTTGCAATAAACTAAATAAAAAAAAGAGTCACACGAAAAGCAGAAGGCGGCTAAGTGCGCTAACCTTTGTGTCCACGTCTGCCAGACAGTCTCTCCGAAACTCGTCGAAGAGACCCTGGCTCTTCAGGTGCTCCACGATTAGGCCTATAAGTTGCGGGTCTCCGGGAGGCAGATTTACCGCGCTGCCGCTGCCCTCCGCCATCCTCAAAATGCAGCCGAATCCGCGCCGACGAGTCTAATGGTATTTAACGTGGTACCCAGGTATGACTTTATGCCCCTGCGTGTAAAATGCTCCCGGGTGAAAACGAAATGGTTTATGATACATGCAGAAACAATTCCTAGCGGGGAAAACGGAAGATGAATAGATAATTGCACTACAAAGACCGGCATGCACTGCGATCCACGGGCGTGGGTTTTCCCTCAAGGGTTTCTGGGAAATGTGTGCGTATGGCGTTTATTGTTTTACAATCAAGGTTGGTTGTTTTCCAACTATTTGCTTCAAAATGCGGTCATCAGTTTTGTTGCCGAATGTTTCTTTTTGAAACTAATGAAAGCTTTATGTTGAGCAAACGTTTTATGAACAAGAAGTGATGAAATGAATCTTCGTAAGGAACAGTAAAATGGTCAAGTAATGTTTCTTGTTTGTATAATATGTACTGTGTTTGTATATTTCAACATATAATATATACTTCTGAATAGTTTTTTTTTAAAGTACAGAATGCACCTAGAACTGATCATGACTCGTGTTATCAAGAACGTTAAATAAAGATTTAGAAATGTTTATTGTCACTATACTGTAAGACCACCAGATGGAGATATAATGTTGCTTTTGGGCTGTGAGGATCAGAATCGTCCGTATTTCCGCATTGATCTCTCGCTCACGTTAATGCTCCTCTAGTTAAAAAAAATCCACTGCGTGGGGTCACGTAAATATACGCACGTGCAGCTAATACGAGTAATACGAATATTTATTTTAAAAATAACCTCGACTCCAAACCAAATATAACATCCCAATGCAAGGCAAGTTTATTTATATAGCACAATTAAGACGCAAGGTAATTCAAAATGCTTTACAAAGGCAGAGGAATATATTTAAATAAAAGACAATTAAAATGATCAGTACCAACAGGCTCTTTCAAAGCTCAGTAAATGCTTCTGGGTGTAATGTAGATGTATAACTACTCTCTTATGTTTGGTTTTCCTGCCTGCAGTTTTGATTGATGTGTCTTCATACCATGAATGTTTGCCTTTCTATCCTAAGCAATAGCTGACCTAATTGTGTGAACAATTCCAGTAAGCTGCTTTGGCATCTCCGTGTGCCTTTTATGGGATATTACATGGCACTATATAACACTTAGAGAATGTAATCATTAGGACGTTATAAACATGTAACTAGAAGCGGATGTGAAACGTACAGAGTGTGACCTTGTAACCTTTGGAGAAAGCAGACCGATGAATTACTGCTGCATGATGTAACCAAAACGAGTTTGTATCTGCACCTAATGTTTTTGTTAAGTTGTCTTTGCTAGTTTCGGTTGTGTGAATATGCTCATTATTCAGCTCACAGCTTATCGCTATGTTGAAGACTGAAGAATACGATTGGCTCTGTAGCTAAGCAATGTGTGGGCAGATGGCAGTACCAAGATTATCACTGGTCATTACTGAAGAAGACACCTAGGTTCTAGGTTCTCATGGCGCTCCCTGTAATGTCCCTGGCCGGTTAGGGGCTCTCTGCCGAGACTATAGAACAGGGTTCTTCAAATCTGGACCTCGATTCCAAATCCAGGCCTTGTTTTCAGTTCCCCCATGTAGTTAGTTTAATAATTACTGATTCTGATTGTTCAGAAGCTTCAGACCTGACTGACAGGTAAGGGAAGGCTGGAAAACCAGCAGTGCTCGGACCTCGAAGACCGTGATTTGAATAATAGGGCTATGGAACATTGTGGAAGCCATCTTGCGATGGTTGTGCTTCCAGAAGCTACAACCAAAAAAGGAAACCATTGACAGTCTTATTTTGTAGGGGTGGGGAAGTAATTGGACCCCAAAACACAGGGAATAATAGTAAAGACACTGAAGGGCATAATGCCTGAGGTCCGGAAAGGAAGCACAATGATTGTAATTAGTCCAGATAGATGATGCTTGGGACGCCCCCTGTGACATATCTTGATAAGAGATTTGAAAAGTGTATAAAAATCTGTGTAATTCAGTATAGGTCACACTCCTGCAGAGTGTCCAGTCTTAGATGTAATCTGTGTGGATGCAGTAAAAGACTGACCTTGGAATTCTACACACTCTCACAATGTTGGTCTTTATCTTTGCTTGATGAGCTGTGCTCATCATGAAATACTAAGGCAGAAATGAAGCTATCTATCCAGTCAGAGATGTTGCTTCACCGTTGTATACGGGTATCGATATAGTGTTTGTCTATTTCATCGTTGGTTTCTACACTTTATCTTGACACTCTTGCCAAAACTGGCAAGGTATTAATCTTCTCTATTCACCTGCCCATAGGTCATGCATAAGCAAACCAGTTTGTCTATTTGTTACATAAACACTAGGTCTACAAACATTGTAAAGGGGTGTAGATCTTAATTCTTTAGGTGACTGTCGCTCAACCAGTCCTGTGGTTTTTACTGTGTGTTTTTATAGGGGCTGGAATATGCAACTGCTCTTGCTAGAGGGACATATTGTACAATCACGCCAACCGTTCCCACAGCAAATAGTAACTAGATGATTATAATATGAAACAGCATAGAACTGAATTTTCAGCCCTGCTGTCCACATTAATTCCATCCCTGAAATGCCCAATTGTACCTGACTGACAGATTAATGTAAGCTAAATGCGTTATTTACCGAAAGCTAGTAATTAACGTAAAGATTTAGCTAGTTTCAGTTCCTTCTATTGAGTTTATTTCTATTCCCTTTTCCGATTGCAAAGTAGCTTTTTTTATTTTTCTTGTTTTATAGTAGGGTATTATATACAGAGAGCATGTAAATGGCTGCATTATGAATCATCTTTGCATTGCATCTCTATGCTGACATCCCTGCTTTTAGAGCAGCCGCATTAAAATGTAGATGCATCCCTCCGTACTTTGCTCCATACATCTCAAAACCGCTGCTCCAGAATAACCCATTTCACCCTCCTGACGGTATACAAATCGTCGGCAGCCCATTTGATGGCTTAAAAGGAAAATTCTTCCCGGCACTTATCATTTCGCATGAGAAAGTCAGTGTAGAGGCAGGCGAAGGAGGGATGTAATTTCCAGCGTGATTTATGTGCCTTTTTAAAGCCGGCACAGCGGCCCTGTAAACTTGGTGGGGATATGTAAGAACAGGCTGGGCCTCCTTTTGCCGGAATGCTGGGTCACCGTGCAGGGGAGTCGGTGGAAGGAGAGTCAAACCCTATGGAAGACCAAGGCCGAGGCCTAACTCAGAGTCACTGCTGTTTTGACCTGACATTTTTTATTTTTTTTTTACCTGGAATACTCTATAACTTATAATTACTGAGCTTTGAAGCACAAGTCCAAGTTTGGCTCCATCTCTAACCATTTTAATGGTTTCCATTTTGGGTGAGACTAGATATCTCCTCCCATCCGAGAGCCTCGCCTTCAGGCAGCTGGTCCATTGAGGTTGTGGAGGTAGCACTGACTCTATTTTAGAGATTATATTATGAAACAAGTAACTTTGAAATAACTCATTACTAAAATTTTATTTACGGACACATTTTCTTCCTTGTCTGTACTGTAATTTTTATAAAGTATTATCTTCTCATTTATTTTTGTCTCCAGCCATCACTGCCTCATATGTAAGTTCTGCAAAGGGCTCTGAACCTTGTACTTTGGTTTATGTTTCCATAATTCTGGTTATGGACTTTTTGACATAAAAACGAAAAAGACGAGCGAGTTTTAGTTGTATAAGCAAGGTGGTGTCATACTGGATAAAAGCAGGATAGAATAGAGGGAAAAAAATGGCCGACCTTCGCAGCAGCTCCAGCCGGCTGATTAATTTAGTTTTATATTCGGCTCAGATCTGGCTGGCTGGAAGCAGCCTGCTTGTATGACTGGGTATGGGCGGGGGGAGAGTCGCATGGCGTGATCTTAAACTTAGCCGAACAAACGCGAGTAACTGTGTGGGTTGTAATTAGAGAGAGCAGTCATTTAACGAGCACACAGCTAAATGCGTGGGACACCCTCACCTACAGACAATGAGAAATTACTGAGACACCATGTTGTCAGTATAAAAGCTCGGACAGACTGGCTTCTACGGCAGCTGCTAGTTAAGATTTCTGCCCATCGTGTTACCATTTCGTGAAGCGCGGCGTCAGTCGTCTTGCATCCAGCATCGTGACACAGCTGTTTCCAGGTGTTCTGAATGCTGGGCCTTAGGAGTCAAACACAGACATGTGACACAACATAAGACAGACAAAATTGAAATGAATATGAAGGTAGTATAGCACAGATTTATACTGAAGTAATGAAATATATATATTAAAAAAATGTGCAGTACACGCAACAAAACTGCAAGATGGATGGATGTGTGTGCATCGATGAAAATCATCCGATGAGTCATTGTTGAAAAGAGCAGTCGGTGAATTTGAGATGCTTTCTCAGGTGTGAATATGGAATGACCACACGCATAAACAGATATTTGAGTCTCAAATAGATACTGCTGCCACGGCAACGGCGGCACTCAGAAGCATCTTCTTCTCTCAACTAGTTCTGTCGTAAGTCCTCTTGTATTGATGAGTAGATGGGTAATAGCATCTGCGGAAAGACAGTCTCGGAGGATATGAGTAAATACGGCAGCGCTGAGATTTAGTGAGGAGAAGACTGAATAATAAACAGCGCAAGAAAATGTCTTCGCAATTTGCGAAGGTGTCTCGCAGGAGCATTACAGCTGCGCATGCAAATAACGTCCCAGTGACTTGTAGCTAGGATTAGGATCTGTTGTTTATTTGTAAGCGTCCTGTTCACCTCCATGTGCTGTTTTATTCATGAGTCCTTTGTGTTCCTTCTGTTTTTCAATTTGAGCGTTCGTGTCTGAGTGTGGGGCCACTCGGTGGCTCGCCCTGTGGCCTTGCATCTCTCGGGTTGGGTGTTTGCGTCCCCCCTTTGCTGCGTGTGTGTGTGTATGTGTGGATTATGTATCTATTACATTGTGGGGACCCAATGTCCCCACAATGCAATAAAAAGCATTTTTTTTGGCCCCCACAAAGGAAAACTCAGTTTTCTAAAAATTTGCGACTGCAATCAAAAAAAAAGTCAAAAGTCTTAGATTTTGTTTGGATATTTATGATGTCATTGTTAAGATTAGGGCAGAAGGACTGTCCCCACAAAGAATGTGTGTGTGTGTGTTTTAGTTTTGTCATGTGGATTTCCTTTGAGTACCCCAGTTTGAGTACCCCGGTTTGAGTAATCCAGTTTCCTTCCACACTATTAAGACATGCAGTTAGGCTAAATGCCAAATCTTAATTGCCCATTGTATATGAGTATATGTTCGTGTGTGCCACCCCCCACCCCCCCCCCGGGATTAATATCCTGTTATACCCCAGCCTGATGCCCTATGCTGC